AAATTTTAGGTTGATTTGCTATTTTGTCTGATTTTTTTTTGATTTCAACCAGCATCAATCAGCCATCAATCAAATATAATGATTTTTTGCCAAATTTTTATTGAATTTTTATTGAATTTTTATTGAATTGTCAATTTTCCATAAATCGGAAGTACATATTTGAATATTGGGTAAATTTTAGGTTGATTTGTCATTTTGTCAGATTTTTTTTTGATTTCAACTAGCATCAATCAGCTGTCAATCAAATATGATGATTTTTTTCTGGATTTTTATTAAATTGTCCGATTGGCATCAATCAGATGTGCCGATTTGTAATGTCTGTCAATTTTGGTCTGATTTTTAGCTGATTTTCCATATGTCCAATTTTTTTGATTTCGACCAGTGGTAATTTTATTTATTTGTAATTAATTAACAATTAAATAAATAAATTAATATTATAATTAAATTTAAATTATAAATTTATTAGCATTCATATTATTGCATTAAATAAATATTATTTTTGATATGCGTTTAATAATAAAATCAGTAAATTATAGCTATTAGCCTATTAAGTCTATTAAATATACTTCAAATATGTATATCGGCATTATCGGATAAATGTATATTATCTATCTGATATTTTACTATAGGCAAACGTGGTATAGTAGTCTTCATCTTTATTAAATTTATTCGAACATTACAATTTAAAAATAAAAAGAAAAATTAAACAAATAAAACTAACTAAAAATAAAGCTATATAGTCTCCTAAGAAAAAATAAAGTAAAAAATTAATCTGAAAAAAAATAATTGCATTACACTAAATTTTCCCAGATCTTTCCCCTTGATATATTCCAACCAAAGTAGAAGCAACTATGCTAACAAAATAATGAATAGCGCGTCCACTATAAAAATTGACACTCCATCCTGCAAAAGTTGTTATTCAGTAGCACCGTTAAATGACTCATAAAACCCAAAAAGTGATTAAACTAAGGCAAACCATATTTCATTGAGTTTTTTAACCAATCAGTTTCAGAGTCACATGAATCATGTAGGGTCAGAGGTGTAAAGATGAGTAAGGTAAATACACCATCAGGAAATTTGTTTAAGCGTAATTTAGTGTAATATTTCAGAGGTGGTGTAAAATTTCGAAATATTACACTAAAAACGTAATATTACAAAAGTTTACGCTTTTAAATTTGAATAATTATAGTA